TAATACTGAGCTGTTTTGTTTTTTTTATAATATTTTATTAGTTGTCTACATTTACAATGAGTGCTTAGTAAACAACATGCTGTCTGGGTCCATTTGTTTTACTTAATAATACACATTAAATTCCTAATCTCTACCTGGTTTTTCCAGCCATTGATAAAATACATCCCATATTTGAAAATATTCTGTGTCTTCTTGCACTACAGCATTTTTCTGCAGCAATTATTTATTTAATGAATGTAATGACTAAAATGTTACCCGTATATGGCTTCTAAAGTCCTCAGAAAGAGAGTAGGGCAGTGGTGGCGAACCTATGGCACGCGTGCCAGAGGTGGCACTCGGAGCCCTCTCTGTGGGCACATGCGCTGTTGCCCCAGCCCCGCCTCCCCGTGGCCCCCACCTCACCAGCAGCCCCCCTAGAAGAGAGCTGCCCCCAAGCGCGGCCCATGCAGAGCAGCGCAGCCAAGAACATGGCAGCCGGGCAGCCGGGCAGCGGGGACAAGACTCCACCCTCATGCCCCGTCGCATGCAGTTGATTCTGTGGGGTGCAGGCAGAGGGCGTGGCTGCCATGGCGCTGCTGGGCCGCCTGGGCGATCTGTGGCGGGCTGTGGAGGCGATGGGTGGCCCTGCGGGCAGGTGGGGCCCGGATGGGGGTGAGGTGGGGGCGGAGCGAGCAGGGTGGGGGCGTGGCCTGTTTTTGGGCACTCGGTCTCTAAAAGGTTCGCCACCACTGGAGTAGGGTAATAGCAAGCTGTTTTAAATATCAGGGAACTCAGCTGGATGATGTCAACTTGAGTGTTTTGAAAAAGCTAAACAGTTTTTGGGCAACACAGGAACATTAAAAAGAAAACCTAAAAGGCAATGGCAAACAATTTCCATATTGTTAAATATTAATAGCAGCAAAATATTTTCCCCCAAACCTTTTTTTATGGAAGCTACAAGCAAACAAAATCCTCTTTTGTAATGTGTTCGTCCATTATGGAACCTAAAGAAAACTCAATAATTCTCAACAAAAATATTAATAACACTCACCCAAAACATTTCCCAGTAGTTCTACGCGATCCGAACCAAAGAAAAGCTGGGGTTTTCCATCAGTCTGGATAACAAAACATGGCACTCCAAATGCCTATTGAGAAAACCCAACACAAGATATAAGTAGAGAAATCTGCTTCATCTAACTAATTAATGGTAACAGATGCAAACCAGAAGAGTTCAAATGTGTCAATTAGCTTCTGTATTAGGTGGTTACATATTTAATTTGCATTTCCCAAGGATAGTTTTTAAAGTTTTTTTTAAAATTGCACATTATTGATTCCACCCATCCACCGAAGAACTGGGAAATGGATCCAATTGTCCTGTGCCTGCACACCAATGCTATTTTGTAGGGAAACGTGTTCAAATGCCATCAAAATTCACCTATTTGCCTGGATGAGGAGAAAACAGATCAAAAGCCGTAAAAGGAAAGATAGATCAACTGCCATGCTTTGCAGAATCTCCCAACTTTCAGAAGTTTTTGCCTTTTGTCAACTTTTTGACTGTTCTGAGTATCACTGTTTTTCACAGTTCTGAATACCATTTGCCAACTCTCTGTACTTCTGTAGGTGCTGGCGCATTTTAGTTTAAACTAGAAAAGCTTAAGTGAGATTCAGTGTGATTACTCCTAGGCAAACCCTACTTACATCCCATTACATCCCATTAGCCCACTGCAGTAATGTTGTACACAAGTATATATCAGTCCTCATAAAAGAGAATTTATGCATTATTTCACATCAATTCAAATGTCATCATCTACTGTGCATGGAACAGTTTTATGAAATAATTCAATGGGAAGTAACAGGCAGTCACCTTGATACTGCTATTGTTATATTACTATGAAGTTGCCCATCTGCCCTGCTTTTCATGAATCTGGAAGCAATAGTTCAATGCTAGCTCTGGACAATAGCTACAAAAAAGCAAAAAAACAAGCCAGAAGGCTCTCAGGATACAAGTCTTCTAAAGTGATTTCATTATCCAACAGAGTTGCTCTTCAGAGCATAAGATTTCAGTTTCCCAAGACCCGCATCTTTTTAAAATAGACTGCCTAGAAGATTTGTTGTTGTTCAGTCTTTAAGTCGTGTCTGATTCTTTGCGACCCCATGGACCCCTGTCAGGTCCCTCCGTCCTCCATTGCCTCCCAGAGTTTGCCCAAATTCATGTTCATTGAGTCAACGTTATCTAACCATCTCATCTTCTACCATCCTCATCCTTTTGCCTTCAATCTTTCACAACATCAGGGTCTTTTCCAATGAGTCCTCTCTTCTCATTAGGTGGCCAAAGTATTTGAGCTTCAGCTTCAGATTGGAAAGTGTATTTCATAAAACATTACCCCTTACCCCAAGTTT